ATAGACACACACACACACACACAGAATTTAAGTAGATTAAAATTATACGAGTTAGGGTAAAACATACAACTTGTACCGTAATGATTGTGCATAAATTTAGGTGTGAATTAAGTTCTTAACAAAATTTAGTTGTATGTCAAGTAGATCTATTATAGAGTTGCTTACCTACTTTGCAAACTGTAGTAAAAGTGTACAGAAAATGAAGATTTTCATGTAAGTTTCATCTCATTAAGAGAGTAGTGCGGAAGCGTTTGTGAAATTCTTGTAATAAGAATTATGTAATAAATAAGATCAATTTTGGAATAATCTTGTTTTGCATATATTGAATAATAATTGATGTCTTAAAAAAAATGTACAGTACCTCTATATTAACAAGCAAGGTTATTCCATACTTCTACTAATACTAGAAAACTAATAAATCCTAATCTAAAGGAAATTAGAAATCCTATTCTAATTAGAAATAAGAATAAAAAGATAAAACATATTACGACTAGACATCTTATTACAAATATCTAACTTTTATCATATTTACAATAGAATTATCCTACATCATTATCTTCCACTTGAAAAAAGCTCGTCCTCGAGCTTGGTTGAAGAAAAGAAAATCAATCAATCGGAGGGAAATACTCAAAAATTTGATATTGAACTGTTTATAAATTCTTTGCAAACAATGTATTTATAGGCAAACCTTATTCACTATTTCTTTTTTATAACATGCTTGATCAATAAAATTACAGAGACTCACTAGTTAACAATTAAAACTGCTTGCCGACGAAACTATGACTATTTGATTTTATAAACTTTTTTCAGTCAATATGTGATTACTCGTTTTCTGAAACATGTTTTTTTATTTCATTTTGCAACCTAAGTAATTGGTAAATTGTATATTGTGACACTAATATAAATATTCCATGTTCCCTTTGAAACCAGAAATCTGTTTGCTAGTATGCAAAGTTCCTTGCTGTCTAATGAGGTGGTTGTTGAAATTCTCGGCATGCTGAGCTATTTCATGATTTGCTCCTTTGTGTAATCTGGAACCATATTTAAAAGGGGCTTCACAAGTTCTTTGTTTGTGTAAATAGGAGGAAGTTGTCTGGAAAACCCAATCGGCTGACAGGCTCAAACTAGAGGCAGAAAAATGTTTGGCTCAAAGTGAGAAACTCAGCAATGAGAAGACTGATTTTGAAAATAAAATCTATGGGAAGGTTTGATTTCTATTACAAGCACCTTGCTCTCTCTGTCTCGCTCATTCTTATTCAAAAGTCTTTTTAATATACAAGTCCTATTAGTAATTGCACATAGTGGTAATTATAGAAGCATGTTTGGTGATCCAGTTACTCCAGATGAATTCTTCTTAAAACTGTTTTACGGTCTTAGATATTTTCCCCTGCCATAGGAATGACTTTATTTTTTAAATGCTTTAGTTTGTTGAGGTCTTGAACTCGAAGAAAGCAAAACTCAGACAGCTTCGTGATCGGCTCTCCAAACAAGCAACTGCAAGTCAATTGCATGAAGAGGAGGATGAGTCCACGGACAGGACCGAGAGTTTTGATGAAGAAACTGATGAAGACAACAATGGTGAAGGGCAAGGGAAGAATGACACAGGTACCTCTAAGGACGTCCCTGCTAGTAGGGCTCGAGGTAGAAAAAGGAAGTGAACCTCTTTAATATTTCGTCATAATAGCAAGTGCAGTTTCTGCCTATCTGCATCCCCTTCTCAGGCTTGGTCGTCTAATTCTTATGGAACACTTACCATAGAAACTTGCAATGTGGATCTGGATTCTGGGCTCGGGGTGGGGGTGTGCAGGTTTCTGAATTTTGCCTTGTAAATACTAGCAAAATGTGAATCTGGAATAACAAAATCATGTCAATGTTGGACGTAAAGTATATGCTCTTATGCTTTGATCTTAGCCTAACATGTTTCTTTGTTTGCTTTTGGAACCACCTGTGTTTTAATATTTGGCGGATCCGTTGAAAGAAATCTTAAAAATAGGCACTTGCTCAGATACTTGGATATCATTATAATTTGAAGTTAGCATATAATTTGTAGAAATTCAGAAATATCTAT